ATATATAATTCTTATTATCGTTTGTAATTATAGAATAAATGTGTAAACATCGGATTGAAATCCGAGTGTTATATGTAGTTGAAAAAGTGAACTGTAGAGATGAGTCATCCTATCACATGCATGTAGACATCGAAATTATCCTAGCGAGTTCCTTCTATTAAAACTTGATTTATATTGGTTAATGATCAACCAATAGGATTTGGAAGTAAGTAGAGCTCAGATTCGAGTTCTCCATCCTATAAAACGTCGAAGTATGATTTCTGTGATTGGAAGATGGAGCTCTACTTTTCGATCAATTGGTTCGTGGACTAAAACAGAACCGATTTCCATCTAAGTATCTTTACAATAGATGACTTAGCCCTCTTGTTTCTTAATGTTTTATATACCATTTTATAGCTCGTGAAATTCTCTATCGAATGGTATATTATAGTTGAAATTTTGTTTAATTATGAGAGGATAAGTTTCTTATGAAAAACGGTAATAGGTCAATGTCCGCATATAAAAGCATAGGGAATAATGACTATTTTTACGATAAATAACCAATAGCTCAATGAATCATTCTCATCTTCTTCTCTCGACCAAGATATTGATGAGACGAAACTGTGTAGAAAATTTGATCGCGATCGGACTCTCTTTCCAAAAGTAATCGTGTAAATGGCCAGACGGTCGGACACACTGACTGATTGTAGAGTCTATCAACTTTTTCAGTACACAAATAAATTCGTACCCAAAAATGATGAAAAATCTTGGAAATGGTGATTATCGAGAAAAGGATGATATTTAGTCGTTTAAAAAAAATAAATGTTTTTTATTGTAAGTTAGTGAGATTTTTTTTATCAGAGATCTTAGATCAATGAGATCTTCAATCACTGAAATTTAAAGTTTAGCTACGTAAGCTCACCGTCAACACGAGAAATTTTCGGTGGACTCAGTAAATAAAACACTACCGAATAGTTCTAATCAGAGGTATTTTAAAGAATCGGTTGAATATGAATTGTTATGAATACTCTTGGAATATTCTATAGATAGCTGATTTTCATCTAGATGACGTTGCTAAAGTTGTAGAGTGAGAATGAATGTATTAGTGGGACGACATTGACCATTTTATAATCAAGATGGATTAAGGTCTCAGCAAAGTAATTGAATGAGAGTGAGAACGAATAGGTGAAGGATGTGACACGAACATCTATTTTAGTCTGAGATGTTCATTCATCTTCATTTTTATCATTCGATATTGATGAATATAATCCTATTTTTTGTTTAATGAAATTTGTTCGTTGCACTTTTTTGTCACAAGTATTTCGTAATAAAGAGAATAAAGTCTATTTAGGTTAGTCAGGATACCATAATGGTCCATTTTTAGTACATGATTTTCCCATTTCGACGAGATGCTCGATTGTAGCTCGATTACTATGATAGTAATTTAATTTTTTTGCGATAATATGTGCGCGTACTACCTCAAACAAATCATAGTCGGATGTTTTTGGTCCTTGAAAATTTGGTGGAAAATCCGATTGTCCACGATATCGAAAACCTCTAAAAACGTTCATATTCCATGACCAAGAAGAATGTAATATATTACCTCCAAAAGATTGAGGCCAATTATTGATTCTGTCTTGTGTAACTATCATTGTTGGATATGGATTACCACCATTATGACAAAAGTATCCTTTTGTCCATGCGAAAACGACTGATGGAAAATGTGTGAAGATCGATAATAATTCACTGAGATGTTCGGTAGACCATATATCATCATCATCAAGATTGGTAA